GCAGAACAGGTAAAATACAATCCCGGTAAACCTGTAACTTGGAAACTACGCTGTAAAACGACGTTCGACTATCATATGCACGACAAAAGCGGTAAGGTTAAAACGACAAAGCACCTCAGGTTTGCAACTTTCAGACTCCTCTGTAAATTAGCCAGGTAGCGGAACTGTTCCACGCTTTTAAATGTCTGACCGTTCATGTGAACATTTCATGGCGGCAAGTGCGCGCACCCATTACAAGGTTTATACCTTGGTCCTCTGCCAGGAAATATTCAAGTTTAGCCTGTTCGACCTGTTCTTAAGCGCTGAGAGGATAGGTGGGAAAAATACCGCAGAACTGATCAACAGTTGACATTAGAAGCATCCGTCTCCACCGTTAATTTTCTGTGAATAATACATGTGAGTACAGATCCACCAACAAAACTAAAATTTAACATGTGAAGATAAAGGAATCCTAGAGGCGAGCAAAATTCTTACTAAGTTAATTAAGTGCTGTAGAAACAGAAACAGTAGAAAAGTGCCATGTTGATTCCATCAAATGTGAATCTTGAAACTTTTGCAAAATACTTTTCCTTGTTTATTGCTGTTGTGTAGTCTTCATTATCTAGGGTATATGGGTCAAGCACAAACTAACCAGATTAATGCTGTCTGACGCAGAATGATTAATGTCTCAGAATGATTTAGGTGATTTTTTGCTGCGGCAAAGGCCATGTTCTTTGTCGCCAGCAAGTCCGCCTCTAACAACTGCTTTAGGGTGCGACGATGACCCCGATGCACCTGACGCCGTATTTTATTTCCCAGAGGAGAACGATTTTGACAAGTTTCCACTGTCTGTTCGAACTGTTGCGCCAAATGACGATAAATGCCGGACGCTGATCCTTCACACAGTAATTTCAGGCATGTGATCTTCAAGATCATTTCATCTTTTTCACTGGATGGAGCCATGCACTTCCAGAATGTTCCGTACCCAGCGCTGATGAACAGCGTCCAACAGCTTTCCATGGCGATTTAAAACGGTTGATGTTCCAAGACTATACATCAAGATTGAAAAGACGGCGATTTTCGGAATGATAATTTTTGTTGCAGTCAGGATAGATCGGTCCAGCCACATTTTAGAACGTCGGCCGAGGGACCCAGATGACAGGCCTAAACGCCGCCATACTTCCTGTAGCAACTTCTGTCTCATGCCCGTACAGAACGGAGGTATTTGACGTTTCCAACTTCCTCGATGGTCGTTCCACTAGCAAGATCCTTTTAGCGGGGTTAACTTCTAGGCCTACCGTTGAGGCCGCCAAAAAAACTTTTCGAGTTAGTGTCAGTTAAGTCATTGGCGGATTCGCTTAGCAGTACAAAGTCTTCAGCGTGCTCGCGATCTGTTATGAGTATTGCTGGATATCTTTGGCTGAGTAGTCGTCTGATAGTAAATCGCTCGCTGTTGTTGGGGATTACGCTCCTTCTCATCACATAATCCACTGCGTTGAAAAACAGGGGTGAAGATATCTCTCATTGACGCATTCCACTGTTATTGTTATACTAGTCCGACAATGACTATAATGGCGCCTTAATACATCTGTACAGTCCTTACAGCGGACCGACGATTTTCTGCGGTAACCCATAATGT